GTGTTTAGGGTTTAGGGCTTTAGGAGTGCAGAGTTCAGCGTTTACGGAGGTTCGGCTGTGTTGTGGTGGTGGGGAGGTGATACTGTTGATGGACAAAATCCTGCATGACCCAAATATAATATAGTACCATAAATCCCATAGTTTAGGTATATAAGGTCATGCAGGATTTTGTCCATCAGCCGTAGTAGCTGCTAGACCCTAAACCCTAAGCCAGATGCGATCACAGGCTCGGCTTTGTGGACACCCTTTGGGCGCCGTTCGAGTCGAAGCAGACCTCCGTTGACGTCGCTTCGCCCAAGAAGTGTCAAGCCCGGGTTTAGGGTTTAGGGTTTAGGGTTTAGGGTTTACGGTTTAGGGTTTAGGGTTTAGGGTTTAGGACCTTATCGCTAAGGGTCCAAATACCTAATAGACAACCTTTGGGATAGTCGGGATTGTGGTTTGTGAGGATTTCCCTAAGGATCCAAGTACCTAATAATGATATACTCTCCCAAATATTAACCTAGATAACGACTATCCGCAACCAAAGTACCTTATTTTGGGGTCCTTTGGACCCTTAGGGTATGGGTCCATGCATTCAGGGATTCTTGCAGGGTTAGTAGGGGCTACTAGTAAGGGTTTAGGGTTCAAGGTTTCAGGGTCCTAGGGCCGAAAAGTCAAAGTAATAGTATATACTTTGGCCCGAAAGTACTTACATAAGAACTACCTTAAAGCCAAAGTACACAACTTTCATAAGGGTAATCTGGCTTGAGTACTTACCAACATTCTTCCTTCGGGTTCATATGATAACTACACTACAGTATAATTCACCCGAAAACCGTTTTCTTTTCACTGACCCTAGGACTCTAAGGACTCATATCTTAAGGCTTTTGGGCCCAAAGACCCTATTATCTAAGGCTTTCGGGCTATTTTGATGCTAAGGGTGAGGCGTCGATATTATCCTGGAAAGCATTGACCCCTGGAGAGAAAACGCCTTCAACCGAAACTGTTTCGGATTGGGGTTTAAGCCTTAGGTTTAAGGAACAGAGCCAGGTGACAACCCCATGTAACCTTTACTTATAGAATCCCAGAGCATTTTCAATTCCCAAGCACGAACTTCCCTGTAAACCTTAAACATACGTTCAGGCTAAATCTCAAACCGCAAAGCCTTTGTCGTCGAAATCTTACCCTAAGGGTGCAAAGGATCCAACGATCAGGTACTTTGATTACGGATAGTGGTTATCTAGGTTAATCTTTGGGAGAGTAGATGATTATTGGGTCCTAAACCCTAAACCCTAAACCCTAAACCCTAAACCCTAAACCCTAATTGGACCCTTAGGGTTTCAGTAGCCCTTGCAGGAACGGGAGGGACTCCGGGGGCCGAGCATTCGAACACCTTAAGCCTTCAAGGAGCCCTGTAGAGAACTTAACGGGGTTTTGGGTAAGGGTTTAGGGTTTAGGGTTTAGGGTTTAGGGTTTTGGGTTTTGGTTAAGGCACGCAGTTCAAGCTACTATAGTAAGGATACCGTCATACTTGCCTCCGTGCGGTGGTAACGTGACGGTTCCGAAGAAGCTAGTCAAAGATATCCTTTTTGAATCGGGCACCCTAACTACACCCCCAAACCCTAAAACCTAAACCTTAAATCCTAAACCCTAAAACCTAAACCCTAAACCCTAAACCCCAAAAAGCCCCCGAAGCCCCCCAGGCACGGAATTCCATGCGCCCCGCCTTCTCAGAGCTTCGCGAAACCATCGCCGCAGACGACGGCCGACGGACCCTCGAGGCGGAGATCGGGGCTTTGAGGATGTTTTCTGATTTTTTTCAGGTTTGAGGGGTGTTTAGGAATTTTTCGGGTTCATAAAATATAGGGTTTTCCTGATTTTGTGAAGGTCTACCGAAGATTTTTTGAGCTTTAGGAATTTTAAGGTTTATAAGGGTTTGCGGTTGTTATGGGTTTGGGGCAAAATGCCTTGGGTTTAGATTTTAGGTTGTTGAGCCTGGTGTTTAGCGTTCAGGCTTCCTTTAACTGCCTGTGGTTTAGGGTTTAGGGTTTAGGGTTTGGGGTTTAGGGTTTGGGGTTTAGGGTTTAGGGAATAGGGGTCTTATTACGGTTTCTTCAATGTCCTTAATATAGGGGTCCCAAGAGGGTCCTTAGGTCACTTCTTCGTGTAGGGTTTGGGGATCATCACTTTCTTCGGCTTGAAGGTCAATCGGTTTAGGGTTTAGGGTTTAGGGTTTAGGGTTTAGGGTTTAGGGTTTAGGGAATCGTGCCTCAATGTAAAACCCGGTGGGTCCAAGAAACTAACATTTATACACTGGCCCATAAAACGACTATCCTGAACCCAAGTACCTACTTGTTGGCTGTTTGGGTCCATGAAATCCCGCATAAAGACCCTATGCAACGAATCTTGGACTTATGATGTAGGTAGATGGATGCTTCGGGAAAACCCTAAACCCTAAACCCTAAACCGTGGGATTCACCACTTTGGGTTTCAGCCCACTGACAGGGAGAGCAGAGTGCCGAGCGAACAGACCCTAAACCCCAAGCGGTTTAGGGTTT